TAAGGTCAGTTATTGAAAGGAGTCAAAGTTCTCACAATACTGAATTAAAAGCATGTGGAACACATTCAGCTTAAACTAGAACACACAACTCACATGGAGATCCCAAAGAACAACCAGGACAAAGGAACTGGGTTGCAATTCACATTTATCCTTGCTTTTTTCAGCCTGTAAGATTCTCTCTAATATTTAATCATAATTGCTCACACTAATTCTGCTGAATTTTTTCATCACATAGCACCTCACCTTCCTCATAACAATTTGCACTTGACCAGATGGCTTTGGTGTGAATTAAGCTCATTTACTATGCACCATGGTTTTCACTTGTCATGATGCTAAATCCTGGTCTGCGATTTCTGAATAATAGACTGATAAAATGAGTGTATCTTCATCACCAAGAAAAAAGGAACAAAGTTCTTTCCCCACTGCTTAGCAAAGATGGAAATTAACATTCATAACAAGACTCACATGATGAGCAGCTGAGTACTGCAATATTTGTTAGAACACACACTTTTAAGTCCTCTGAGCAAGGACAGGCACTCAAACCACGCCATCCCTAGTTTTAACCATGAGATCCACACACCACAGTCCCATAAGCTTTGTGCCAGCTGTTTCCCTTCTTGCAAGGTGGAACAGCTTAGACAGGACCTCTGTCCCAAAGCAGCTTACACCTCCCACTTCAGGCAAATAAAGAGACTTCTGAGAGGCAGGACAAACTAGTCCATATGCCAGGAGGCAGGAGCCAAAGCAAGTGTCTGACATCACAGGTAAATAGTCCTGCTGCTTTGCCTACTGACAACCAGGTCTGCTCTGGTCTCATCCACACCTGCACAGAGAACAGCAGCAGTTCTGCTCTGCCAGTTGCCTTCCATGTGCAACACTGTCTGGGCACCCTCCAGAGAAGGAACTCTTGAAAAGGGAGAGCAAAATGTGCAACGTGACAAACCAAGCAGGCATGGGGCACCTGGTAAGATTGATGCTCTTTAAGAAGGAAATGGAGAAAGGTCTGAAGTTTTCCCCAAAATTTAAGCAGCTAAAAGTCAGGGCAAAAGCTCTAAAAACTTATTTAAAAGCAAAACTTCTGTTCACAAGCTATTTTCATTTGTACTTTCTCCTGTACATAAGTTTGTTCATATTTAAAATATTTCACATTAAAGAAACCAAGCAGAATAGCTGGCATTGCCAAACAAATCTTGCATTTCACAACTACAGAACACACCACCAAGCAGCTGCATCCGTCACAAAGAAGGTAAAACAAAAGCCCCAAGGAATCATATGACCATTGTCATTAGTATTAACAAAGCACTGCTTCCATAAAAAGAAATTGAATTACGTATTTCCTACAGCAAGTTTAAAGCAAAAACCTCAACAATATAAATCAGTAGCTGGGGCATTCTTCAAAAAGCAGTACAGCTAACTCACTGGAAAACAACTTCTCAAACAGGCATCGAAGACATCAAATTCATGACAGGGCACTGAACATGGAAAATCACCCAAATTTTCTTAGTTAGTCATTTGAAATACATGAGTCAATTAAAGGAGTCAGGTTTAAATTTTGTTGCAGGTTGCAAGCTCCTCCTGCGTTCAAACAGGTCCCTTTCCACCTCAAAAATCAAGAGCTATCTTCAGGAAATCCACTTCTGGCACACTTCTGTCACCAACACCAAGTCACACATTCCAATTCCCCGTATCTCCCACCCCAATGCACTCATAGCCTGGTTGCCCTGTCAGAACCTCCTGGTACAGGATATTGGCTGTCTGCACTGCATGGCACAGGCACACTTTCACCCCAAAACACCTCCTACTCTGTAAAGCCCTGAGAGACAAAGCTTTATGAAAATAATTCATAATATTTCATAATCATGAATAATTTCATAATCATAATTCATAATAATTCAGATAAAACTGGAAAATTTTTCAATTCCACTGAATACCCACTGAAAGCGTGCCTTTGCACCAGAGGCTACAATCTAACACTGGTTAATTACTTTGTAGCTTTTCAAAGACACTTAGCTTAAGGCGAGCCAAGAAAAAAGTTTCTTCTACTGCAGTGTTTCTAATTTATCCACAAAGCTCTAATCTCATAATTTTAATCAACCTATTGCATCGTAAATAGTTAAAAAGAAAACCATAAAAATGTTTCCAGTCAGTACTCTGACAATGCAATACAGCTGTGAGAATGAAAAAGACCTGAAAGTAGAGAACCTTGAAAGGAAAGCAGAACATATGTTGCCCCATCTATTTAAGCTTTTACCTCCCACTCACACTGACACCCATGAACACTATGCCAGATCTGTGATAAAAGCATCCATCCCTGTGAACCCAGCCCCAGGCTGTCTAAATCAACTCTGATAAGCTATTAAGAGTCATTAGAAAAGTTTTCCACTATTGATACAGTGAAACAGCCAAACACTGAATATGTTCTGAGGCTGCTATTCTTAAAACACTTCATAATTTTTCAATTTTTGCCATAGTGCAGTTTCACAGTAAGTTTTGCCTGCACAGATACATCATCTAAAGGGAAGGGAGGAAAAAAAAGCCATATAGTAGGCATCACAACTATTTCAGCAACCTAACAACCATGAAAAACACGAGCATTTCTGACAGCTTTGCTTGTGGTGTTTGTGGAGGTGATGGAGTAGTGCTAGCAGAAACTCTCCCAGCAGAACACGCTGCAGATTCCTTGGAATCCCTACCAACACTTTTTTTGTAGTGTTGATTAATGATCCCTTTCTATCAGCTAGACCACACCAAGAACACAGAGCCCTGGAGGGTAACTTCAATGATACCTTTAGATCCACACAACCTGGGCTTGATCACCATTGTCAAAGAAACCAAAGAAGTATTGAATTACACTGAGATATATTCAACATGAGATAGCTTGTTGATTTTTTTATTTTTAAGAACTCCAGCATTTTTCTCAGCCTGTTGGAAAACAAAAACTAAAAAATCACACTTGTGACTAGAATTCACAGAACAATTTGGGTTGGTAGGGACCTCAAACATCACCTGGTTCCAATCCCCCTGCCATGGGCAGGGACATCTCCCACTACACCAGGGTGCTCAATACCCCATCCAACCTGGCCTGGAATTCAGGGGGAAAAGGCAAGGCCTTACTCTGCCCAACCCCACTGTGCCTCTAGACAGGTCATGTGCCAGCAGAAGAACCCTTCCTGCAGAGCTCCAGCTCACTTCCCCTCTGAGCCTCCCCTCCCAGCTGCACACACTCCCTCCTCCCCTGCTTGGCCCCCTCCCCGGCTGCCTGAGACCATCCCAGTGCTCAGCATTGCTCCACGGACCTGCTCTGCTGGCATCTGGGGGATTCCACTGCAAACCAGACCAGGGAATCTGGGCCCTTTTCCTCCGGTTGGGTACATTTGCTGATCTGTTTCATACATCACCAGAAGTTGTGCCAATGAATTGCAGAAGTCTCCAAGCCACAATTACTGCTACAGATCAGGTACGGTTGAACTACAGCCTCAGATGACATTCAGTTTAGTGAATCTTTACAGAAGAGCAGAAGAAATGATTTAAAGGAATAATAATAATAAAAAAACCTGGCAGGGGCAAAGTCACTTTAATTCATTTCTGACACCTAGAGTCATTGGCTCACTAGAAGCAGTCTTGCTTCTTTCAAGCAGAGCAGCATGCTAATTTGTGCTGGCACCTCACTACAATTTTGTGAACTTTAGAAGTGAAGGAAAATGTTTAGAAGCACAATTTTGAAAATCATAGAATCAAAGAGATCACAAGAAGTGCATTCAGGATAGCATTTAATCCAAGTTACTACACAATTTTTTTTACTATCAACACTCTGCAGCATATTCTAGTATTAAACAGGACTGCAGAACAAGCTCTACCATGAAATCAGAGAAGTGGGAAGAGTGCCCCGAAGGTTATTCATTAGCATTATCTCTGTGCGTAGCTCACTGGGGAAAGAATAAGGAAAACTCCTCTGTGGCATTCTATTCAAATGTATGAGGCATATTTAAATGAGTGAGGGAAGTATTTCTGATGCAGATTTCACAGCAGGTCTAAGACAGCATCACTTTCATTAACACTCAGAACATCCAAGCTGAAGAGCCCTTTGCCATACAAAACTGAACAAGATGCGCACCTTGCGTCTCCTGAATTATACAAAGGAGCCGAGCCAAGACTCCTAGAGTTCTTAAGTTAACATCGCACTTTTCATACGGAGGCGAAACGTCCTGAACAGTACCTACTAAAAACGGAGCTTGGCCTAAATTTTATGAGAACAGGGAGAAGAGGAAACTGACAAGGTAATTACAACCTACAGCTACGTCCCCCTTTCCAATGGCTGCATCTCAGAACTAATCCCCAAAACTCCTTCCTGCACCCAGACCTCATCCAGCCTATTTAAGGGCCAGGGAACAATAAACACTGACGAGCAGAAGGGGCCGGGTGAAGGAAGAGAACGATTACAATGGCTGCACACAAAGCCTGGAAAAAGAGAGTTAAAGACACTTTTTGCGAGCGGCACAAGCTCCGCAGCCCGCCAGCCGCGACCCCGGCCGGGACACTCCCGCTGCGTCCCCAGCCGCTCCCAGCGGTGACCCCCGTCCTGCCGGACCCGTCCCTGCCCCGCCGGGCACGGGCACTCCGGCTCTGCCCCGCACCGAGCACCCCTCGCTGGTCCCCGTGCAGCCACCGCCGTCCGCGCCCCCTCCCCAGCGGCACCGCACTGCCCCACGCCGCCCCCGGCACGGGGCTCACCGCCCGCCGCCCCCGAAGTGCACCCGGGACACGCCGCTCCCGTCCCGCCCGCAGGGAGCCCCCGCCGCCGGCAGCGCTGCCCCGCGGCCTGCAGCGGCCCCCGGTGAACGCAGCCCCTCGGGGCAGCCCCTCGGGTGCGAGGCAGCCCCCCCGCCGCTCACTGAGTACGGCCCCGCTCCCCCCGCGGCCGCAGAGGCCCCGCAGGACGCGGCCCCGCCGGGCCCCCGAGCGGGACAGAGCCGAGCCGGGTCCCCGCGCCTCGCCCTCACCTGCGGCTGCGGCCGTCCGGCCCCGGCCGCGGTCCCGCTCCGGAGCGTCCCCGAAGTGCCGAGCGCGGCCCCGCTCCCCGCGCGCGCCCGGCCCGCCCCGCCCGGCCTCGCGTCATCGCACGGCGGGGCGCACTGCGCCTGCGCGGGGCGGGGCGGCGGGGAGAGAGGCGGGGCCCGGGTAAAGGGGCGGGGCCTCTGTGAGGGGAAAGAGACTGAGGGAGAGGTGGAGGGAGGGAAGGAGGAAAAGAGGGGAAGGGTCTCGGTGCACAGGGGTAGCAGGTCTGCTAGCAGGGCTTGTCTCCAGCAGCTCGGTGCTCCAGAAGAGCTGCTGGAACAGCAGAGAGGACAGAAAGAGGCAGCAACCCTCATAAAATCACAGAATGGTTTGGGTTGGAAGGGACCTCAAAGACAATCCTGTTCCAGCCCCTTGCCATGGGCAGGACACCTTCCACTAGACCAGGCTGCTCCAAGCCCCATCCAGCCTGGCCTTGGACATTTCCCAGAATGGGGCACCCACAGCTTCTCTATGCCAGTGCCTCAAACAAACCTCAAAGTAGATAATTTCTTCCCAATATCTAATCTAAACCTGCTCTCTTTCAGTTTGAAGCCATTCCCCCCTGTCCTGTCCTACACTTCCCAATGAAGTTCCCCTCTCCATCTTCCTTGTTGTCCCCTCTCAGACACTCTCCAAGTCCTTAGTAGCCTAGTGAATGCGAATGATAGACACACAAAAACATCTCCTTGTGTTCTCCAGGGGATTCATTTGGGATCAGCAACATTACCAGGTGAAAGGCAAGCCACAAGCTGCTCCCCTGAACAGAGTGTTGGCTCCTGGAAAGCTCAGAATTGCTTCACCTGTTCCCATAACGCTGGAGGATGCTAACCCTGAATTTTCTTCACAGTCCTCTCCCTTTTTCATGTGGCCACATCTTTGATTTGGGAACTGCTGTTCTTCTGCCGTTCTGCCTGTATTGTTTCCTGTAAACACACCTTTAATTACTGAACCCCCAACATTCAGCAAATTTTTTTGACTGCAGGTAATCTTAGGGCAAATAATGCCTTAGTTAAACCCAGCCAACCCTAATGAAGTTATAGGAATTTTAGCAATGCAATTGAGGGCAGAACTTATTGCAAAACTAATTATGAAGCCATAGGTAACCTTGCAGCCAAGACTGCAACCAGCTTCTCATTCTTTTAACCCTGGAGGAAAAGTTGAAACGCCTATGAGACCATAACACACCATTTCAGAGTTGTGTATGTCTGACAACACTTGCTTTTAAAGCTGTTTTTTATCTGGACATTTTTTGCACTGGCTTATCAAAGCCAGTGCAGCATCAATCTCAGAGCAAAAGCTATCCTGGTTGAGTAACTCTCTAACAGATTTTGCTATGGGCAGTTTTGGGTTCCCTTCTGTTCTCCTCACGTCACTGAAAGCAACTGAAGCAAATTCAGCACAGGGAGCCAATTCACCTCTGCTCTGAAGCTGACAAGAAAATCAGTATCTCAGTTGCAGAAGAGAACATTTTTTGTGTATATCTTTTGTGTATATTTTTCCAACTCCTGTCTTTGAAAATGACCTCTGGCATGAGCCAGTGATAGTCTTGACTTATCTTTACAAAACTTTGGGAAGAATTCACCTCTGCTGAGAAGAGACATGGACAGAGTGACACACTGGATATCACACAAATGTTCTCAAATAGAATAACTCCAGTGTAGGAATGTGCTCATTCACAATATTTTTTTTAAAAAGTTGCAACAGTGAGTTCTTCACCTTTTTGCTTCTTTCTTTCTATTAGAAAAGAAAGTGAAATTTGCCATCTAGACGGAGAGCTATAAAACACATGTCACTCCAGATACTGGGGTTTTTCCTACTGCTCTTTTTTATCCCAAGGCAAGGTAATCTCTCCAACACACATGTAACTTCCAACAGCACAGAAACTTTCTGATCCTCTTTGCTCATTTACCTGGCAAAAGGTAGTTTTTTACAGCCCAGGTTCCATCTCATTTCACAATTGAATATTCCTTTTTTTTTTTTTTTTTTAATTTTTAACTAAGCACTTGGTAAATGAACAGAGTGCTCATAGTGCTCCAGTGTTCTTCCAACAGCTCCACCTTGAAAACCAAGTAAGTTTTCCTGGTCTTTACCTGGGACTTCTCAGCACCAAATTCCAGCGTGCATCTGGAAGCCCCAGGAGCCGAGCTGTGCAGGGGAAGGCTGCAAAGCTCTGTTCAGCAGACCTAAGCTTTGTCACTAAGGAATTCTTCTTGAAAATACTTGTACAAGGGCTGCTTAGATACTATATTGTCATAAAAAAAACTTGTTCTAAGCTTTTCTACAAAGTGTTGATGCCTGTTATATACTTCTCTGTAAGAAATCCACCTGAAATTTGCTGTACATTCTCTGTCAGGCATCTCAAAGTATAAACACAAGACAAATACAAAAAAATTACTAATACAAAGCAGTTTACAAAGTAAGTTTTATATGTAATTATAATATATATTACATATTATATTACAGCAAGACTGTATTCACAAATATTTCCTGTGTAAGTCTACTTACAGAATAGTTCCTTTCAAAACAGCATTCTCAGTATTTATGCTGACAAATCTGATACAATTTGATAATCGTACTGAATATAATTTAGTGTGATAATACATGTTTTCAGCATCTAAGAACAGTATAAAAATGAACAGCTACCAGTTCAGGCAGAGCAGGTTATATCTACCTCACAATCACTTTGCATTGATATTACAGATTAGAGAGCAATATCCATTAAGCAAGAGTATTTCCTGTTCAGAAATTATGCAACTCGATTTTATCTCAAAAGAAGCACATACCCACCATCACCTTAGCTCAAAACAATTCACTCTGAGCTTTTGCCATAAATTGTAACAGAATCTGTTACAAAGCAGAACACGGAACTTGGGTAGAGGAGAAATACGCTCCGTTAAGTTTCAATTGCTTGTGGCAACACTGATTCACTATTTGCAGTTCTGCAGGTAGTTACTGTGGAACTTGATTTGAGCGTGTGAGGAGCTGCAGCTCACATGTACTGAATTCCCACACGTGTTTAAGGCAGCATTTCTGCAGCTCTTTCAGCCAGAATTGCCTGCCAAAGTGAACTGGAGCTTCCACGACCCCTTCTCCAAGGGCAGGGCTGCAGGTGGAGATGCATCTATGTACTTCCAGGTGTGAAGAGAGCTCCTCTGCTGAAGGAATGCTTTTTAGTTCTTTATTCTGCAATTTAGAAAAGTTACTTTCAGGATTTATAGCTTTTCTATAATGAAAATGTTATGTGTAGGACAAATCTGCATATTCATTCCACAATAACAGCCTCACAAAATTAAAATAATTCGAAAATGAGAGGCGAGGTGCATATTTGTCAAGAAGTAAACACTGATAATGTTTTGTGGTAAAAAATAATTCATTTTAAGTGTTTTTAAAGCTGGCTTTCCCCCTCAAGACAGCTTGATTCCAGCCATGCACGTTGCATTTCCAAAGTTCACTGACAGCACTGGCTCCTGCTAATGCACAAGAAATCCTGCAGAGCTGGAGCAGAAAGGAACATCTGCTGAGTGTAGGTAGTGCCGAGCTCCCAGCTGCTCCTGCAGGCTGCCATCCCATCCCATCCCATCCCATCCCATCCCATCCCATCCCATCCCATCCCATCCCATTCCATCCCGGAACCACAGACCAACAGGAGGGGCTCTGTGAGCACAGCCAGCCTCCAGCAGAGTGAGAGGGAGCTGAGCAGCAATCCCCCACCTGTGCTGAGGCTGGTGAAGCCTCATAAAAAGTCTTCATTCAGAGTGGAGTGTACCTACACCCTGTCCTTGGTGTTACCCCGCGGAGTGAGGTGGAAATTTCTCCCAGAAGGTTATCAAAATAAAAATCCCTGGAGGGCAGAGCAGTGCTCTACAACTTTGTCCTACTCCACTTCCAACAGCACCCAGCCACTTTCCAGGAACATCAGCAAGGAAAGTCTCCCAGTTTCTCAGTTATTTCCTGTAAGAAAGACAGCCTGGCAGCCTCTCTCCCTGTCCTCAGATGCAAACATGAGATACTTTTGGTACCCAGCATGAAAAATGGAAATTTCACCTTCCAGCCTCATGCTTTAGGGCAGAGAAATGGGTGTCAGCTTCCTCACCACCCAAGCACTGGTCAGATCAGAGCCAGCTGAGGTGCACAGACAGAGCCATGCCTCCCCAGACAGCTGCAGGCAGCCCTCAAAAGCAAATGGCATTAAAATATATATTAAAGCTTTATCAAAAAGATATTTGAAATGTCTCTCCTTGCACAGTCAGTGCCTTTACATTACAAAAGTACCAGATATTAAAGTAGTTCCCAGTGCTTGGAAGAGGAAATAGCTGCTTGGTGTGTGCTGGCACACAAAAGCATTCTAAATTAAATTATAATACTGATAAATCCTGCTTACTCAAGCCCTGATTTTCAAACTTTTTTTACCATCCAGAGCCATTTTCACAAATCTGAAAATGGGGGCTAAACAACAACCTAAAGATTAATTTTTCTTGATACCACTTTGAATGCCTCATCTCTCTTTGCCCTCTTAATATTTTGTCTCTCTTTGCCCTCCACAGTCAGCCACCACTGAAATGGCAATTACTGGGGCAGCAGAGAATCACAGACAGCTTGGACAGCCTGCCCTTCTCTGCCAGGCAACAGGGAAGAAATCAGCATAAACAGCATTGCTACTCTCAGAGAAACATTTCCAATGTAAATGGAGCATCTCACTGGAGAGATATATTTAATATATTCAAATATGTAGGAAGGGGGAGTTACTTTGGCCACCGAGCATTAAAATTCATCATGCGGAAGAAAAAAAAAAGATGGAAAACATTTAGGTTAAAATTGATCAAAATCTTAGGAGTTTGGGATGACAAATGAAATGCAAAGGGAGTGGAAGGAAGGATGGGGAAATCAGAGAAGATGACTGCAGGGAGGACAGTCTGTAACTGGCATTCAGGCAGAAAGGAGGCCATTCCGAGCAGGCGGGGATTTCAATGCCTCAAGGATTCAGAGCGGTTCTAAAATTTAACCCAACAACTACAAAG